TTCCACCTACACCCATTAATTTCCATCAACCCTTAGGTGGCCTTTTCTTTCTTTGCTGAAGGTTTCTATCATTCTTCATATTGGTGCTCAATGAAAACCTTCAATTTTTTAAATTGAAACTTATCGTAAGGATCCTTTTGTCTTCAATTGTTTGCGAAGGAAGTGATGGAGCAGATCAGACAAAGTTGAGATTACCGTTAAAGCTAGGAAAACAAGCCAATTGAGGCCAAAATTATTTACAAAATAATTTTAAAATTAAAATCTGTGAAAAAAGACTAGAATTGGGGCTAGAAAAACCCTAGTAGTGTCCGCTATTCTTTCTAGTTACAAGTAGGTCCGCAAAACCCTACCTTTTAGAGCGTTGACTTCCTATGGATTCCGTGGGAATTTTTACCCCAACCTTTATCCTACGATTTGCTTGGAAGCCTGCATAGAGTGATTCCTGACCCATTCTACCGATTTGTCACAATAAAAAAATTTCCTAATGAAGTTTAGATGTCGTCTAAGGTTAAATATGTAAACTAATGATGTTTATCTTCTTTTGTGATTCTTTTTGAGCTCGAAGGTCTAGGATCGAGATTTAGAGCATTTCATCTGCTTATTTTATATATTTATTTTTTTGGTGAGAGCTTGTCATATTGAGTTGTTAAACTTGGTTGCCATTTCGATGAACTTAGATTTCTATGTCGAAATTTAATTTATTTGGTTCAATGTATTTCTACTTGCACATTTGAGTCTATAATTTTGAAACATTAATTTACTATAACCTTCGGATTACTGTATTTTACGATTACTATAATTTAGAAATTATAGTAATGTATTTCTATAATTTAGAAATGCATTTGATGTCTATAAATCATAAAGAAATAGAGGTTAACACATTCTCACTCACTTGCGTAGTCTATCGAGGCAAAAAACTTCCACCTACACCCATTTCCATCAACCCTTAGGTGGCATTTTCTTTCTTTACTGAAGGTTTCTATTATGCTTCATGTAGGTGCTCAGTAGAAAACCTTCAATTTTAAATTGAAGCTCATAAAAAGTGATGCTTTTGTCTTCAGTTGTGAATTTGCAAAGGAAGTGATAGAGGAGATCAGACAAAGTTGAGATTACCGTTGAAGCTAGAAAATCAAGCCTATTAAGGCCAAAATTGTTTACAAAATAGTTTAAAATTAAAATCTATATAAAAAAACGTATTATTAGGGCTAGAAAAACCCTAGCAGCGCCCGTTATTCCTTCTAGTGACAAGTAGATCAGCAAAACCCTATCTGTTAGAGCGTTGACTTGTTATGGAATTCCATAGGAATTTTTACCCCTTCCTTTATCCTACAATTTTCTTTGAAGCCCGCATAGAGTAATTCCCGACCCATACGACCGATTTGTCATAATAAAAAGTTTCAAAATGAAGTTCATGTTGTCTAAGGTTAAACATGTAAATTAATGATGTTTATATTCTTTTGTCATTCTTTTTGAGCTTGAACATCTAGGATCAAGATTCAGAGCATTTCATTTGCTTGTTATATTTTATTTTATTTTATTTTTGTGAGAGCTTGTCATATTGAGTTGTTAAACTTGGTTGCCATTTTGATCAACTTGGATTTCTATGTTGGAATTTTCATTTATTTGGTTCACTGTATTTGTACTTGCACATTTGATGTCTATAATTTTGAAACTTTAATTTACTATTACCGTTGGATCATTGCATTTTAACACTTGTCTCGAAAGATTAAAACAATGTATGGTTTTAGAGTAAAAAAATATCTCTTAAAGACATAGAGGTTAATACATTCTCACTCACTTGCGTAATCTATTGAGGCAAAAAAACTTCCACCTACACCCATTTACATCAACCCTTAGGTGGCCTTTTTCTTTCTTTGTTAAAGGTTTCTATCATGCTTCATATTGGTGCTTAATAGAAAACCTTCAATTTTTTAAGTTGAAACTCATAGAAAGCGATCCTTTTGTCTTCAGTTGTGAATTTTCAATGGAAGTGATAGAGGAGGTCAGACAAAGTTGAGATTACCGTTGAAGCTAGGAAATCGAGTCTATTAATGCCAAAATTATTTACAAAAAAGTTTTAAAATTAAAACCAGTGAAAAAGAAATAGAATTAGGGCTAGAAAAACCCTAGCAGCGTCCGCTATTCCTTCTAGTGACAAGTAGTTCAGCAAAACCCTACCTGTCAAAACGTTGATTCTTTGTGGAATTCTCTAGGAATTTTTACCTCTACCTTTATCCTACAATTTGTTTGGAAACTCGCATAAAGTGATTCCTAACCCGTTCGACCGACTTGTCACAAGAAAAAATTTCCTAATGAAGTTTAGATGTCCTCCAAGGTTAAACATGTAAACTAATGATGTTTATCTTCTTTTGTCATTCTTCTTAAGCTCGAATGTCTAGGATTAAGATTTAGAATATTTCATCTTTTTGTTTTATTTTATTTTATATTATTTTGTTTTTTGGTGAGAACTTGTCATTTTGAGTTGTTAAACTTGGTTGCCATTTTGATCAACTTGGATTCCTGTGTCGTAATTTTCATTTACTTGGTTCAATGTAATTATACTTGCAGATTTGATGTCTAAAATTTTGACACCTTTATTTAATATTTCTTTTGGATCACTACATTTTAACATTTTTCTCAAAAGATTAAAACAATTTATGGTTTTAAGGTAAAAAAAAATCTCATAAAGTCATAGAGGTTAACGCCTTCTCATTCACTTGCGTAATCTTAAGCTCGACCGATTTGTCACAATAAAAAATATTCCTAATAAAGTTTAGATGTCATCTAAGGTAAAACATGTAAACTTATGATGTTTATCTTCTTTAATCATTCTTTTTGAGCTTGAACGTCTAGGATCATGATTTAGAGCATTTCATCTGCTTATTTTATTTTATGTTATTTTATTTTTATTTTTCTTGTAAGAGCTTGTCATGTTGAGCTATTAAACTCGGTTGCCATTTTGATCAACTTGGATTTCGGTGTCGGAATTTTCATTTGTTTGGTTCAATGTATTTGTACTTGCACATTTGATGTCTAAAATTTCGATACCTTTATTTACTATTTCTTTTGGATCGTTGTATTTTAACATTTGTCTCAAAAGATTAAAACTATGTATGGTTTTAAGGTAAATTCGCTTTAACTGAAAATTCATATTTCAAATATGATATTGTATTAATATAATCCGCAAAAATAGATGTATCGATGTTAGCATTAGTACGTGTGTGGTATTTTATAGCATTAATACATGTGTTTGGTACTGAGTGACAGAGTTAACAACACTTTCTAACACTAATACATATGTATCACTAGTACGTGTGTTATCTATTATTATTAATAGATAACAATATTAATAATAATAATAATCTGTAACAGTATTAATAATAATATGTATCAGTAGTACAAGTGATATCTAATGTATAACAGTATTAATAGTATCATGTCATACTAGTTCAGATTATAAATAATGATTAACAATAAAAAAAAATAATATTAATAGTAATGTGTATCAATAGTAACAATAATATGTAATAGGTAACAATGTTAATGGTAGTAATGTGTAACAGTGTTAATGATAATCTGTATTACTATTAAATGTGATATATGATGTGTAACAATGTTAATAATAATAAGTAATACTAGTATATATGTGATACTTATGTCATAGTAGTATTAATGATACTATATAACACTAATCTAGATAATATTTAATGACTAATAGATTTAACAGTAATTAGTAACACTAGTACCAATGATATGTAGTGAGTAATAGTATTAATGTACTATATAACACTAGTACGTATAAATAGTACATAACACTAGTACAGATAAATTATAATGAATTAATTTAATACAAATTCCTAACAGTTTTAATAGTACTACACAACATTAGTAATATATTTTTTTTCATCAATTTAATGCAAATTCCAAATTATTAGTAATATAAGATTTTATTATTACCATATCGAATAGAATTTTTTTTTTAATGTTTTTGAAAGTGGATAGGTCAATTTAATGTGAATTCCTATCAAAACTCAGAAAAATTTTCAATGTTTTTTGCACTTAAAGATTTTTTTTTTAATAAAAAGAAGTTTGGATTTGCAAAATCCGATTTTACTGTTCACTTATTTTCAAATTATCAAATAAATTTTCAAATTTTCAAATATTCCCGCCTTCAATTTTTTTTTAAAAAAAAACAAGGTTGGATTTTGAAAATCCGACCTAGAAAATCCGACCTAGAAAATCCGACTTTGCACTGTTCATTATTTGATCACAAAAAATATATATTATTTTTCACATGTATTTTGCGGAAAAAATATATTATTTTTTTAGGTCGGATTTTCAAACTCCGATTTACTAATTTAATTAGTAGTTCGGATTTTGTAAATCCGATCTCCATATTTTATTTTACAAAAAAAAAAAATCTCTCTGTTCCTTTTTTCTAGGCAATTTTTTTAACCAAAGCACCCAGTGAGTTTTGTCTTCTGACGTTGCGGAAAAGAGGAAGAAGAGCGGGCTGTATCCTTCATCTTATCAGAAGATCCCAAATAGAACGTGCCAAGATGAAAAAGAAAATGTCTTGAGCAATGGATGTAACAACCTAATCTGGGGTTCTTTTTTTTTTCCCTTTCCTTAATCCGTTTGCCTTCGTTCTTTCAATTTTTTTTTTTTGTTTTATTTTATTCTGATTCAGATAAAATTTGATTGTTAAAAAAAGAAAAGAAAATCAAATTCCGTCATAAATTAGCCTTTCAACCAAGCCATTTAACATCCCCATATTCTTGCAAGATAATATTGACCTTAAAGCGTTAACAATCTACCATTATTATAGTAGTTGTGACAAGGACTAAGGATAATTTATATCCCAGAAATATTCGCATGTTCTAAACTTGACCTTGTCATTTCTCATAATAAACGCAAAGAAGAAATAAGTAACTCATCATTTCCTAACTTTTTTCGTCAATTTAGGAATTAGGAGCCTGGAAAACACGGCGAAAATGTAAGGGAGAGACCAGTGGCAAGAGTAGTCAATTAAAATTCACAGATCCGAAATTAATGATACATTGGTTGGGAATCATTAAAAGTAACAAACGAAAATGTCTGCGCTTTCCCTTTACAACGAGGGAAAGAAAAAAGAACATAAAGAATTGGAGAATTCAAAAGGTAATGGAAATTATATCATTGGTTAAAACATTAACCACATGCAGAAGCTTCCTTACAGAAATGAATCCCTCCTTGTACCAAAAAAAAAAAAAAGAAGAAGAAGAAGAAATGAATCCCTCCAGTGCTTTTTTCATGGTTTTTCTCGTCAAACCCTGGATTCATATCCTTTAAATTGAATCATCATTTCAAAAAAAAATCCGAGATAGAAAAAAAGGCATTGAAACACAATTTAACAATGGACTTAACAAAAGTCCTCCATATTTTTCTTTTTTCAACTCTCCTAATTTTACCCTTTGTTGTTCATCATTGCGATGGAAAGGGGCATCGACAAGCACACACTGAGTATCTTCAGGCCAAATTCAATCCGAATTCCAGAATTGACACATCCCACTTCACCCCGCCGGCCGCCCCGCCCGCCTTCGGCGCGTCCCTCATTTCCATTTCCGATGATCAGAAGCTTCAGGCTGTAGTTTTGCCCGGTCAAGATCCGGCGGCGATGAGGATCAAAGATCGGATTGCTGAGTTGCCCGGACAACCACCGGTTAAATTCCAACAGTACGGTGGATATGTTACCGTTGATCCGGTTTCTGGCCGGGAATTTTATTACTATTTCACCGAGGCCCAAGATCCCCAGAAAGCAAAAGATTTGCCTCTTATTGTTTGGCTGAACGGAGGTCTTTCTTTTTTCATTCATATTTTTACATCTTTACGTCATTTTCCTTAATATGTTCTTGGTTGAACATGGATTACGTAATGCATCAAAAACAGTGAAACGAAAATAAATACATTTAACTTTTTTTTTTCCTTATAATATGTCTGGTGATCAGTGTCCAACAATGACGATTCCAAAACTGAGACAAAATATACATAAAATGAATTTAACGCACATATGGTACAAGACTCGCATCTAGAAAATTAGGGTTTTTTGAAGTATGTATAATCTGATCCAGTTTCATTGTTGAATATTTTGAGCTTTTAGGGTAGAAAGTATTCATCATTACACTTGATTGAATTAATCATGTCTTTTTCAGGCCCTGGTTGTTCTTCACTTGGCTATGGAGCAATGCAAGAACTTGGACCATTCAGAGTTGGAAGTGATGGTAAAACCTTATTCAACAATGAATTCGCCTGGAATAAAGGTTTGCAAATTATATTTTAAACCTCCTTTCCGACAAATACTTAGCTTTTTTTTAATACAAAATTTATGTATTTAACCCATTGGTATTTGTAACAACAGTTGCCAACGTTCTATTCTTGGAGTCTCCAGCCGGAGTAGGGTTTTCGTATTCTAAGCAAAGAACAGATTATACGATTGGGGGAGATCGGAAAACAGCACAAGATAATTACATTTTCTTGATAAACTGGCTTGAAAGGTTTCCGGAATATAAAGGCAGAGATTTTTACCTTGCTGGAGAGAGTTATGCAGGTCACTATGTTCCTCAGTTGGCACGTACTATTGCCTTTCATAACTTCAAGGCAAAGAAAACCATCATTAATCTAAAAGGAATTATGGTATGTCGATCACTCTAGTTAGCTGCTACTCTTTCCGTCTTCCAAAATGATTGTCCAATTGGAATTTACGTTTTTTTTTAGTACAAACTGTAGTAAAACGACAATCGAAATAAGACAATCATTTTGGGACTTCCTCTGTCTTATTGTCCAGTTTGGATTTTAACTTTTAGTACAATTTGAATAAATAAAAAAAAAACAGAATTGGACAAGAAATTTAGAATAGTAAAATTGCTTGTTTAATTTATTGTAAAATCTATTACACAGAAATACATTTTCCTTTTATGTCGTTCTTCATTCCCGAAATATTATTAACTACAGTTTTTTATGTTTTGTAAACGATCCCCAGTCCCAACACAATGATCTTGTTGTTCTTTCTTTCAGATCGGAAATGCAGCCATCAACGATGAAACAGACAGTATAGGGATGTATGAATATTGGGCATCCCATGCCCTGATTTCACAAGAGACATTAAAAGAGATTAGCAACAATTGCGATTTCTCACCAAATGGTACTTTGACGGATAAGTGCAGCACCATCACTAATCAAACCGAGAAACTGTATGATGAGATTGACGTCTACAGTATATATGCTCCAATGTGCTTGAGTGTTGGGAAACTCACCCCTACCCCAAAGCCCTTCACGGTACGTAATTCTTTTAGGGTTATACTAATTGATTTGCTTACATTGAAAATGAGGTCCTTCCTCTTAACTACACTTTCTGGTCCTATTTTGAAACCACCTATTTGAACTAATAAATTTTAGGTTTAGCTGTTTGTGCAATTATGTATGAAGAACCGTAGATAATATTAACTACTAAGGTTTGAATATACACAGAACACGAAATGAAATTCAACTTCCATTTCCATTTACTTCAACCATTAGACTGAGTTGAGGGCATTGTTCTATACATTTCTCAATGTGTATCAAGACTAATGAATTAATTTTTTCACTCACGGTCAAACCTCTTCCATTTGCTCTCTCCAATCTCAATAGAATTTAATTAATTTGGGACAAAATAAGACATTGACATATAGTTAATTTCTTAATTCCGTTGTTAACTGCAAATTTAGCAATAAATTGAAATGAAAGTAGTAATTTTATTTTCTTGGATTAGGGTGCTCCCCTTCTTCAATAAAACATGGAAATAGAACGTTTTTGTGATGGAAAAATGTGCTCCCTTAATCCTTCTGAATCATACTAAAATAGTACAATTGAGAAATTATCTGTGGAAAATTTCACTAAAACGGACAAAGAACTATTCTTGAAGAGTGCATTATTCTATACGTACACCTTATATCTTTTCTAATCGGTGGTAAATAACTTGAACCTATAACTGAAAACTAATGGACATCGAGTGAAAATACCACTAATCGTATATATTAGTAATTATTTCTTTGCATTCTTGTTACAAATGTACACTTCTAATATATGAATTACAATATTTACTTTTTTTCTTTTCTGTTTCTATTTTTCAATGTGCAGATAATGAACTTTGATCCGTGTAGTGATACTTACGTGACCGCATACATGAACCGGCCGGAAGTGCAGGTGGCCTTACATGCAAATGTAACAAAGAATATTCCCTATGCTTGGGAACCATGCAGGTACATAGATTTATATAAATTTGGCGACCTCTCTCTTTTTGAAAATACTATCTCTATTGTTTTGTTATTGTTTCAAATGTTTCAAATTCAATTTTTATTTTTATTTTACTCCGGTTTTCTTCTGTAATTCCTTTTAACCCTTAATACTTTCTTGCAGTAATCTTCTTGAAAATTGGACAGATAGTTCAGCAAGTGTGCTTCTCCTTTTTACGGAATTGATCGAGCATGGAGTCCGAGTTTGGGTATATAGGTATTCAAAGCTCTAACGTACTCTTCCGGTCTTATTATAAAGTATTTTGATTTGTCTTAAATTTCACTTATTATGTTATTTTTATTGAAGAAAAAATCTTAAAATTATTTTTCAAATTTCGTTAGGTCCTCCTAATTATTATGGAATATTTTAAAAGTTTCTTGCTTTCAATCAAAATAATATATATAAACATATAATCGGTAAAATCTAGAATAAATCAAAATACTTTATGATAAGGACGGAAGGAGTGCCATTTTACGGTTTTATGATACATTATGTTTTACCTAATTTATTCAAGTAAAAACGTTTCAACTGACTGTAGGAGAGCAACTTGAAAGCGATACGTTCTTAAAAGAAAAATAAAAAAACATAATTAAATTTTTGGAAAGGACGAAGATGACTTATTTAAATGTAGGATTATAATGTTATTTTTTAATTGCTGATATACGTATCATTCCTAAACAGTGGTGATGTTGACGGAAGGGTTCCGGTGACCGGAACCCAATATTCACTAGAAACAATGGCAGTTCCAATTACAACTCCTTGGGGTCCTTGGTATCTGAATGGCGAGGTGAGTTTTTCCGTAGCACAGCCAGAAATATTATTAGAATTATGAAGGCTTAAATGTATTCATTTTTAAGTCTTTAATGATTCACTCGATCTGTTTAAAAACAATAATCCATTTTTTAAAATTAAAAAAGTGCAACAAATTAGGCTTTGTTTTGTGGGTGGAGTCATTGTTATGTGAAGCACACTAGCAAAAAGGAATTCTTTTTTTCTTTTTTTTGGGTAAATCATGACTAATAAAATTGAATGCTGATCCTTGGCGCGACCGACTTACATGAACAATAGTCTTCAGTGTATTTTGTGATTTGTACTATTCACAAAACATTTTGTGTATAATTTTTATGGAATACATGGAATAATTTTCATACACTAATTGTTGTTTGATCAGGTTGGAGGATATGTCCAATACTACCAAAATAATTTAACATTTGCAACAGTGAGAGGGGCGGGTCACCAAGTACCAAGTTATCGACCCGACAGAAGTCTCGAGCTTGTTTCCCGCTTTCTTACAGGAAGTCCTTTACCACCATCAAAAAAAGTGAAATGACGAGAACAAATGTTGATTCAACTTCGGAGTATCTTAAAATCTATAAATATACTTTTTCTGTCTCAAAATTATTGTCCAGGATGAATTTTTATTTCTAGTATAGATTATACTAAAAGTGAAATTCTAAACTGAATAATAATTTTAAGACATAGGGAGTAGTTTATTCGGGTAGAGACCGAAAAATTAGTCACACCAAATAGAGAGATATATTTTTGCATGTCACAGTCAGCGTGTGTATGGTACACTGGTTTTTTATTTTGTATCACACGCACGGATAGTCAATTGTGTCTCTAAATTATGATTTAAACTTTCCAACACACACATAATGAAACTATGAAAATTTGTCTCCTGACAAAATCAACCGTTCCTACTTCCTACAATCTCTCTATGTTCTTCTTCAAACTTGATGGGACATGCTTCTAATGACTAGGAAAGGTGATTGAATAGTCTTGAGAAATCTTCAATCTTTAAACTTATAAAGTCCTGGTTACTAGGCTAAACACTCCGATATTTAAGTTAGTCATCTATCATTAAAGAATCTTATATTTATAGTGAAGAATAGATAACTAATCAAAAAGAAATTAAGTACATAATTATATCTCAACTCCTGGAGTGAATTAAGGAAACGTGCTCAAGATTAGAGGTGAAATCTAATCCCTAGTGATACGGCTAAGGTCAAAGGTGATATATGATCCTTAGTGATCTTTTTTATTTTTTATTTTTTCATTACATGGGAAGCCAATCCGCTTAATAGCAAAACATCCCTCAAACTTGGGAACATCTAGAAGTGATCATTAACCATCTCAGTTGACTCGGTAAATAAGTTTTGTTAAGTAGGCTTTGTAAATCATTTGGGCTTTTAATCATGTAAGTTTGGAAGACTTTTATTTTAGATTTTATTAAACCAGACCCAAATAGCATGGCCCAACTTCATCAAAACCCATAATCTTCCATATTCCAAAACATTTCAAGTTCCTCATTATTTCCGAAATCAATCACGCCATGACTTTTCTATTTCAAAATCTTCACTAAATCAAACATGATCCTTATAATTTTCATTATAAAATTAAATCATAGCATTTCATGTATTATTCCACAAATTTCACGACATCTTGAATTGGAATTCATGAGCTACCACATTTTCATATTTTAAACACGGAAAATACTACATGTAGGAGCGTTTGACATTATTGTTTTTCTCCGCGAGAAATGTGTTGTCTTTTACTTTACATAATGTTATTATTTTTTTTTCCTCAGATTTTGTAAATTGACGTCTAAAATTCTATATTTGTTAATTTCAAAGTTGAAATTATGAAATAACTTAATAAATATTTTTTGATTATTTTTTTTTGGGTTTCATATATGGTATTTCAAACAAAATAATTATTTTAAAATAGAGGCTGTACAAGAGCAGTATTGATAGAATCAATGAAAAATTTCAGCGAAAGAGAATAATGATTAATGAAAGAATAATATCAACATGTCCAGCTCTTAATAGCTTCTATTTGAAAAGGAAAAAAACATTTATGTCCTACTACGGTAAAAACTTCATAAATTAATAGTTTTGGGCGCACAAAACTTTATTAATTTATAGAGATTATTATTTTATGAATAAATTAATAATTAGAATTTATTGATATATCAATATTAATTTTATAATTAAAGGGTTTTTGTTAATTCTATGAAAAAACATAATGCTCAACTTCAAACCTACTTAGTGTGTATTTATGATTCAATTAATTTTATTTATGGATTGCAGAGAAAATTGCCTATGAAATTTTCTCAGATTTTGAAAAAAATAACTCAATAGCCTCCTATATTTTTCAACCTTGTTAGTTCTTTTTTTCTCATTATTAATTCATGATTTTAGGGGACCTATATTATATAAGAATTTTTGAGAAATTATTATATTATTAATTTACCTATTTTGTTTAATTTTTATACTTGTCCCGAGTTGGGATAGAAAAAATTTTATTATTTAATAAAAGTTATGAATTTATAGAGCATTAATGTACATGTTTTTCAAAATATATTAAAAAAATTAAAATCCAATGTCAAGGACTCATTCTCATACTTTCATATAAGATTTATGTAGCAAAATTAACATATTCAAAATTTTTCATTTAAAAAATATTTAAAGATATAATTTTTTTCATTAAAAGGGAGTTCTCTTCCTTATTTAATTTTACCACATGGATTTTCAAAGATAAAATCTATCAGATAATACTCTCTCAACGTTATAGTCATTGATGTAGTGTGTTTTAATTGATTCAAATTCATACCCGTGTTTTAATATTAAATTTTTGTAGATAAAAATATTTTATCTTTATAATTCAATATAGTGACGGGCTTTCGAAACCAGTAGTTGATTTAGAACAAAAATTTCACGGGAGCATAAATAAATTGTTTAAAAAATTTATTTTGAAGAGTGTGTAAAATGAGATCTCATTCTTGATGTGTTATATATAAGGTCATTTCCATAAAATATTTTAAAACATTTATTCTTTTTCGCTCTATAAAATTATGTAATCTTTTATTCAAAAGTTTTGTATCTCCTACAACTTTTCGCTGCATTCATAGCTTAAAACATGCAATATTAAATATCAAGTAACAATAATAACATGGCCAATATATCCCTAACTCGGTTGCAACGTTAAATAATATCAACACAAATCAAATCAACTTGTTGCTCTTCTTAACAAAACTAATCTTTATAAGCTTGCAAAGAAATATAGTATACATGGAGTATTTATCTATATACAACAAATTTTTTATTAAAGATTAAAAATATTTTGAGTAGTAATACACTACTATTTATAATATATAAATTAAACTTATGACCAAACCTAAAATTTCCACTATGGATTTGGTTTATATATGTTGGCACAATAATTGATAAATAGTAAACCAATTAGTATTCCATTCACACAAAATTCCCTAAAGTGATTAATGTCATAAATATAATTAACTTTTATTATATATATAATAATAATTTATGATGGCCAGAGGGGGCCATGGCCCCGTGGCCAGTGTCGGAACTAGAACTTCAACATTTGAGGGTCAGTGTTACTTGGGAATAATTTCGTCATTATACAGAAAAGAAAATTCTTATGAAAATTAATTTATACAAGATTTTTTAAGAATATACACACACAGATATATATATATATATAAATATATATATTCTTATGAAAATTAATTTTACACGTTTTTATATTTAGTGGAAGAGTAAAATTATTTTTGGTTTAAATGATGAGCATTATTATAATCTACTACTATTACTATAGAAGGATTTGATGGTTTAACAGATAGCCTATGAGCAAATGGGCTTGCTCTAAAAGGTACATGATGTTTATACATGTTTTAATTAGTCTGGGCCATATTTAATATTTCGTACATAACAAAGAAGGTTTGATTGGTCCGTTTCTCTTCATCTTCCTCTTTTCTTCTCTTCCATCGGTCAGCCATCAAAAAATTTTGGGGTCAAAAATAGAAAATACAGGCGGCGCCACCAATTCCATTCTTCTATTATGGGGAAAATCCGGAACGTAGCCCCCTGTGGTTCCCTCCCTGCCCGTGGCCGCACTCTTAATTCGGCAGTGTTTGTTATAAAAGAATACTAGTCTATTAATTTATATGTCAGATTGGATAGTATCTACTTATGTTTTATATTTTCAGAATACATATTATTTTTCACGTTTATGACAAAATACTTAGTGTAAAAGGAGATGTGAGGATGATATCACAAAAGTACCGCCTGACCAACCATACTTCAAGAAAGTTATTAGTTTAATTTACTTTTATATTATGATGTAGATAATCTTACAGCATCTACAACAATACATAACATTCAACACAACATTACATTGCCACGTCAGCATTCCATTACACTCTCACTTTACACACTTTTTCCTACAACAATATTACACTCACTACCTATATAATTTTGGACCCACAACTACCTCACTATTATTACCCCACACCTATCCTACTATTAATACTTTACTTTTTATAAAAAATAATTACATTTACTTGTAATAATAATTAAATTTATTTTTCATAATTATTTTGTTTATATGACTTCTAAAGTACATTATAAAATTTTATTATTTTTTTAAAAATCTAAAAACCTAATTAAATAACACAAGAATATAAAAAAGCTTAATAATCATTGAATCAACCAATATATTAATAAAGTAAAATAATTAATTTAAAAAATAACAATAATGAAATTTCACTACTAGACGATGTTTATAGAGATAGTGAAAATCTAAAAATATATAAAAATAATTTAACAATACTACATTTCATCAATTTCATTTCCAAAACGTTCGTAGATGTGCTCAAGCAAATCTGATCGTAGTTGATGGTGTTCTTCGCGGTCGCGTATTTCTGCATTAATTTGAATGTATTGTTGTATATTAGGGATTAACTCTTGATGATGCGAAAATTGAGTCCGCGCGTCATCAGTCCAGTCTGTTGCTTCATCTCCCTCATCCTCAACTATCATATTGTGTAATATGATGCAAGTATACATTATATCTTTAAGCGATGCTCTGTCCCACAATCGAGATGGAATATGTAAAATATTCTAACGGGACTGAAGCACTCCAAATGCTCGTTCAACATCTTTTCTTGCTGCTTCTTGCATCTTTTTGAAGAGTTTTCTCTTAGAATCCACCGGAGATGTAAAACTTTTCACAAATGTTGCCCACTCCGGATATATACCATCAGCTAAATAATAACATCGGCTGTATTGAGTACCATTTACAGTAAATTGAATATCAGGAGCATACCCGTGTAACACATCGTTAAACATAGGAGATTGGTTGAGCACGTTGATGTCGTTGTTAGATCCTACAATTCCAAAAAAATGCATGCCATATCCATAAATCTGCAGATGCGACTGCTTCAAGCACTAAGGTGGGAGAACCTTGATAACCCGAAGTAAAACGACCTCTCCATCCAACTGGACAATTTTTCCATTTCCAATGCATGCAATCAATGCTACCAAGCATACCTGGAAAACCATGTCGTTTATCGTGCATTTGAAGTAAACGTTGAACGTCACTATCATTAGGTCTTCTCAAATATTGTGACTGAAAAATTTCAATCACGTTATGACAAAAGTATCGTAAACACTGTAGTGCAGTACTTCCACCCATCCTTAAATGTTCGTCAGCACAATCGGCTAGTAATCCGTATGCTAATTGATGAAGAGCTGCTGTAGATTTTTGAATGGGGGAAAATCCCATTTTACCCGATGCATCAGGCCTTTGTTGAAAGTATTCAGAGTGATTTTGGAGAGATTGTACAATGCGGAGAAATAATTCTTTCCTCATGCGGAATCTTGTACGGAAAGTAGCTGACGAATATACTGGATTGTCAGAAAAATAATCATTAAATAACCTTTGTTCTCCAATTTCGCACTCTCGATCGATATGCCTTCGTCTTCGCGAAGAACTTGCACCTCTTCGTTGCTCAATCAACTCATCCAACCTCCTTAAATCCTCTAAACCCGTGTTATCAAAAATTTGTTCCCGCATATAATCATTCATTTCATCGTCAAAAATAGAGGGATCGAAATTGGGAAGAGAATTTTGAGACATGGTCGTGTGTGAAGAGTTGTTGCAAAATATATGCATACCAAAGAGTTGAAAAGGCTTGAACAATATTACTAGTCTCATTTCATATTTATAGAGTGTACTTGCAACAAGATCAAAAAAAGATTTGACTATATTATCCAATGTATGGATAAGATAATGAGTACACTATGGTATGTATGGACAAATGAAAAAAGAATGACGTGACTACACTATCAATGTATTTAATGGACAAGATAAAAAGAATGACGTGACTACACTATTAATATATTTAATGGACAAGATAAAAAGAAAAATGTGACTACACTATGGCACGTATGGACAAATGAAAAAAGAATGACGTGACTACACTATCAATGTATTTAATGGACAAGATAAAAAGAGAGATGTGACTACACTATGGTACGTATTGACAAATAAAAAATGAATGACGTGACTACACTATTAATGTATTTAATGGACAAGATAAAAAGAGAGATGTCACTACACTATGTTACGTATAGACAAATAAAAAATGAATGACGTGACTACATCATCAATGTATTTATTCATTTAAAGTATTTAATACTTAATTTTTTACGAGTTTTTTGAGTTTCTCTAGATTGTTTCGAATTTATTATATTTTTTACTTTTTTCATGCAATTAATTATAAGTTGTACAATAATAATTATACGATGCGGTAAACATAATAATACTTCATATTTAAAATAAAATAATATGATGTAATAAAATTCAAATACAGTGACACAACTCTTACATTTTAGTTTAAATAAAACAAAAAACTCGCAATGAAAATAACTAATTCAAAATAATAACCTAACATGACTATCTATAATTAGACAAGATTTTTTCAACTAAAAGTTCATGTCTTGCTCGTTGTTCTGGTGTCATATTCGAGGTGTCCTTCGTCAAAATTTCATATTCTTTGGTAAACGTATGCCTCATGTACGCCTGATTGTAAAATTCTTATTGCTCTAATTTTTTGGCTTCCAAATCCATCATTTTTTGTCGAAGTTCAACAAGTTCATCGTCATCATCCCGTGCCTTGCACTTTTCTTTTGACTTCCGTTTTCCTTTCTTGGCTGCTTTTTGGCCTATTGGGCGAACCTCCTCTTTGATCTCATTGATTTCAACATTTCGATCAGCATTTGATGATGAAGTGTATGATCCGGATTCATTGATTCTTGACCTCTTTGATGACTCTTCAATGGTAGAAACAACTGCCTATTTTGGATCATCTTTCACTATTTTCCACACATGCTCATGCACAAAATGTTTTTTCTTAATTTGGTAATATACCTCATGAGCTGCATCCCTTACATAATCATCACTCCAACCACTACGGTGTTCATTCCATAGTCTATTGTAGTGTTGGTTAAATTCATTGACATACTTTGAAAACCAAAACCAATGAGACTTTAACTTACCTTGTTCTCTTTCAGGTAAAGATCCTCGGTTTGCATTGTAGTAGGTAGTAATCTTCTTCCAAAATTCCTTCATATCTTGGTAGTTTCCTGTAATGCTACAGTTAGAAACCGTGAGCCATGCACGAGCCAGAAGTACGTCTTCCTCCTTCCTCCAACCTTGATAATTTGAAGTATTTTCTTTTTCTGGTGCTTGCGATAAAGAAATATTATCCAAACCAAATTGAGTTGAAAATTGTGAAAAATAATCTTGGGGAGTTGATGCCCTTGGCGTTGCATTTGGAGAGTCATCGTCTCGAACGTCTCCTCTTGTTGAAACCGGTGTAGGTAGACTTCCGGAAGACGAACCCGTATTTGTAAATCCCATTGGAAAATTATTTCCAATCATTTGAGAAAAATAACCGGACGGTTGATACATCACGAATGAATTTAGGACATAAGGAGGCAAATTTGAGGTACCCAAATTTTGAGGATATCCAAAATTTTGAGGATATCCAAAATTTTGCATAGTAGGATGAAAATTTTGGGGGCGGGGGGAATTTGGAAAATTGTAAGACAGATTTGCATTGTTTGTAGGATGATTTTTGTTATTTTTTCGGCTCATGGTAGTAGAAAATAGAAGAAAAAAATTGGATAGTTGATGTGTAGTAAAGAAAGAACTATAAGTAAGAAGAGAGGAAAAATAGAGAAAGTGGTGTGTTATGAAAATCAATATTGGGGGTATTTATAGGAAAAATCTCAAATTATTCTCTTAAAAAAATTATCAAATTATAGTGCAAACATTTAGAAACGGCTAGTTTTTTCAACTTTCAAAAAAAATTCTATGGCCACAAATTTGACAACGACAATGAAGAATTTTTTTTTTTTGGAGATGCTGTGAAGAAGACAAAAAAAAGGGGATTATAACGGTCACAAAAATAAAGAAATTTTACTTTTGATGTTGAAGATGACAAAACGGCATATTTAAAAAAAAAATTTTAAAAAGAAATAAAACAAAAAAAAAGAATGGGGTATCAGCCATGACATGGGCCCGCCAATGTCCACTTTTGTCAGTTTCAACGGTGCAATATATTTTGCACAACTGACAACATTACACAACTTGCATCAATAGTCAAAATTTTAGTTCTGACATTTAACTCACATTATACTGTTATTGTGAATGCCCTTAGAGCAACTCTATTAGTTTTATATTTTGTGACTGAAAGTATTGACCTCCATTTCATCATCGGCCTAACATTGTTTCACTCTCATATTCAATCTTTTTAACTCAATGGTTTTACTAATTTCCAATATCAAAAACATGGCTGGAAGCTTTGCATTTTTATTTTTTTTTGGGCAGCTCTTTTCTAATTTTGCAGAAAATGATAATAGCTTGCTTGCATTCCAACCGCCGTACATGTCCAGCTTTTGTCTGAAAAAGTTCTTTAAGTATAAATTTACACATAATAATAATTGTCTAAAATTAGGGTAGGGAGTTGGAAGTCAGTTTGGGATATTTCCAATACTAAAAAACTAAAGGCTGAGGAGAGAAATTTTGAATATATTGAGCCAAATATGATTAACAACAGAGCTATAACCAAAGTTCATAAAAATGAAATTCAAGATGTTGTTGACTATTGAAAGCCCTCTTTGATGTGTTACGTTTTAGGAACTAGCCCTTCTTTTTATGTAGTCAATGGTTACATCCGAAGGCTCTGGGACTCTCTGGGGTGGATAAAGTTCTTTTATTGGATAATGGGGTGTATGTATTGAGATTCACTTCACAAGATGCTAAGGATGAGGTGCTTAAGAACTCTGTATATCACTTTGACAGTAAACTGTTTATTGTCAAAAGCTGGAATGTAGAAGATAGATTCAAGATTGAGGATGATAAGAAGGTCCCTATATAGATTCAATTGCCTAAATTGCAATTGAAATACTGGAATGCCGTCAACCTTAGTAGGATCACAAGTACCACTAGGGAGCCATTAAAGATGGATGAAATGACTTCTAAAAGAAGTAGGGATGGTGATGCTCCATTTCTACTACAATGCCTACAACTCTTTGGTTTAAGGACAAATTTGGCAGAGTACAAGAGCAACCTATCAGATATGAGTGAAAACCTATTAGGTGTGATCACCGCAAAGGATATGGTCACTCAAACTAGTGAATGTAAGAAAACTTTGGTGTCGAAATGGGAAAAGAAGACTACATCAGTGAATATGAAAATGAAGAAGGGCATACTACGGCGGATAAGGGGGAATCTATTAATAATGTTCTTGATATCGCTGTATCAAACACCGCTACAACTTCAGTTCGTTTGTTGGGTTCTGCTGACAAAAGGAAAGGTAACTCATCGATAGCAAAACCATACTGAGCCAAACAGGTGGGGAAGGGAAGGATGGTAAAGCACAAGAGATATAAGAAGGGACGCAACTAGATAAGCAACAGGGAGCAGGGAAGAGTAGTTATCCTGGCACTAGTAACCCTTATATAGGGCACTAGTAACCATGTATAAACATCCTAACCTGGAATGTAGTGGGACCTAACTGTCCCCTGAAGCATAGGGAGGTTGACAGTCTGTCAAGCTCTCTATAAATAGAGTAGGTATATCCGGTCTTCAAGAAATAAAACTTACAAGTGTTACTTTTGAAGAGCTTATGAAAACAAAGTGGAACGAATTTGACTACTTCTGTAATAATAGTCATAATGAGAAAGGGAGAATCCTATTAATGTGGAGGAAAGCAAATTACAGAGTGACCATCATTAAAATACATCAAAAAATAATTTGTGGAACTTTCAGTATAATTGGTAGCAGTAAGGAATTTGATTTGACAGTAGTTTTTGGAGATTATCAAGTACAAGGAAGGAGTGAACTTTGGGACAATAGTTTTGAGTATGGTGGGGAAAATCAGCTTACCATGGATAGTAATGGGAGATTTTAATAGCATCATCAGTTGTGAGGATAAGATTGGAGGAAAGGAAAAAATCAGCTAGGACTCAAGATTATTCTATTGAGAACTGTGAGCTGCTGGAAATTCACACGCAGGGCAGCCTCTTTACTTGGAATAATAAACAATTAGGAGATAGAAGGGTGGCTTCTAAATCGGATAGAGGTTTGATTAATTGGAAATAGTATAATCTATATGAAGATGCTTTTGCTTTATTATTGTGTGCAGGAATCTCATATCATAATCCAGTACCCATACAATGTGGTTCCCAGTCAGTAATACGGAAGACTTCTTTCATGTTCTACAACATGTGGCTTCAACATCCAAAATTTGGGGTATTTTTCAAGAAAATTGGTCAAAGGTTAGTAGATTAAAGGAGTTGAATAAGAAAGGAGTTGAATAAGAAAATATTCATAGATTAAAAGATGAAGATGGAGTTGATTTAACTGTGATTGGGGACCATCTAGAGGGAATTGCAAAGTGATCTAGGGAATGACAAGTTGCAACTTGAAGAGAAGGAAGTGACCAGTAGATATATGGAGACAAGTAAAGCTCTGCTTAGCTTCTGGAAGTAAAAACTTAAGGCTCAATGGGTCCAAGAATGAGCTATCAACTCAAGGTACTTTCATGCCATTCTCCAAAAATAGAGAAAAGAGGTAAGTTTTTGTCTTTTATTGATCCTCTAATGCAATTATAGATTACTGGGAAAAAGTTCAGGACCTTTTTATTTGTTTTTATGAGTCATTACTAGGGACTGAGAGTATAAGGATTTCAGCTAACAATAGTATTTTTCAATCAGGAATTAAAACTGACTGTATACTAACAGACTCTCCTGGTTGAAATTATAACTGTGGTTGAAATAAAAAAAGGCAATGTTTAGTATTAATAGTCAAAAGAGTCCTAGTCTAGATGGATTTAATAGCGGGTTCTACCAGGGTACATGGAATGTGGTAGGAAAGGATCTTAGTGAGGAAATCTTGGAGGTTTTCAGTTCAGGAAAGTTATTAAAGCAATTCAGCTTCTCTTTAATAGCATTGGTTCCAAAAACTAAAAGACCTAGGAACGCCACTGAATTTAGGCCAATTTCTTGTTGTAACACATTTTATATGTGCATTTCGAAGATTTTATGAGGTTGAGTAAGGTATTGCTAGATTTAATAGATCAGAATCACTGTGCCATCATCTAGAATAAGATCAATTTTGCACAACATCTTGCTTACTCAGGAGCTTATTAGATTGTATAGCCGTAAAAATTTCAAACCTTGTTGCCGGATAAAATTTGATCTCTAGAAAGATTTTGACTCCATGGATTGGGAGTTTGTCGCAGAATTGCTTCCCCAATTTGGTTTTTCTCCTAAATTTACAACTTGGGTTATGTAATGCACAAGTATTTGTAGTTACTCCTTAAATTTAAATGGTAGCAGTGCTGGATACTCCGTAGGGGAACGAGGTCTAAGGCACTGAGATTCCCTGTCTCCTCTGCTTTTTGTTTTAGCAATGGAATATCTAAGTAGTATGTTCCAGGTAGAAGCTGAAAAAAGAGACTTTACATAGTATGTTCCAGGTAGAAGCTGAAAAAAGGGACTTTAAATTTCATACAAATGTGAAAAACTGAACATTATCAATCTCTACTTTGCAGATGATTTGATAATTTTGTTTCAGGTTGATATCAATACAGTTCAGCTAGTTAAGAAGGTTCTTGATGAATTTGTAGCAGTGAAAGGCCTTTTTGTGAATCTGAATAAATCAACTGTTCATTTTGGTAATGTTAAAGAGGAAGTACAATATCAAATTCTCCAAGTTCTGAATTTTGAGTAGGTAAGCTTTCCATTCAAGTATCGAGGAGTTCCACTGTCTCCTGTTGCCTGGTCAGAGAAGGATTGTGAAATCATGGTAGAAAAGTTTGTTAGAACGATAAAAAGTTGGGAATCTCGACACCTATCATATGCAGGAAGGTTAGTTCTTATAAATTCTGTTTTATTGACATTAAACTCTTATTTGGCTAGTATCTTTATCATTCCAAAAAATGTGATAAAACAAATAGAAAGGGTGTGTAGAACCCACTTATGTGGAGTGAAGGATTGGAGAAAAAGTGGTCTCTAGTTGTCGGAGAAGATATATGTAGGGAACAATCTCTGGGGAGGGGGGAGGGGGGTTGCATATGAAGAATTTTGAGATATGCAATAAGCCACTTATTAGTAAACAAATTTGGTAAACTAATCTAAGTTTGTGAATAAAGTGGTGCATATAAATTACTTGAAAAACAGGGAGATTTGGGAGTACCAAGTTCCAGCTGATTGTGGATGGCTTTGGCGGAAATTGATACAAGTTAGAGATCAGTTGAAGGACGGTGTTAGAGATGGCTAATGGATAGTAAATGCAGGTCAGCCTTCTTTTTCAATATATTGGAAGTCAATCACGCAGGAATTAAGAACGACTTTTCAGTACAACGTTTTTTT